TGTTGTACTGATTAATATCTCCTGGAGGGTAAACTATATCTTGACTGCAAGTATCAAACTGAGAAATCCTTCATTTTCTACAACTGATAGTGGTTGGTCATTAATTATGATGAAGTTTAGCAACTTCTCTGTAAACATTTGAGCTCCGGGGCTTCAGCGATGTCTTCTTCTTGTTCAATCCGCAGAAAGCAGCCTGATCTCGGTCAGCGGCGCTCAGTCTGCCCCTCCTCTGACACGGAAAGACTGAGCGGGTCAGACTGAGCGTGGTTGACCGAAATCAGACTGCCTACTCTGGGCTGAACAAAAATAACAGACTGCTGAAGCACCGGAGCTAGAAGGTCCATCGTAAAACTAACTTTAACATGGTTTAATGTGGCGCTACGGCTCTGCAGACATTGCACGTTGCTGTCTTGTTTTGTGGTGTTTTTAGTGTAAAATACTTCCACACAGCGGACATGTTTACATGAAAAGTTTGTTAGCTGTTAACCACAGTGCTGCTAACACAGTCCTCACGTTGTAGCTGGCTGCAAACTATGAACTGGATTTCCTGAATGTGAGGCGGGTCTTATTACTTTGGGTTCATGAGACACGCTGCCGTTCAGGAAATCCATTCCATAGTTTGAAGCCAACTTGCATCATGGATCGGAAATCTCTGCAAGTTGGATCGGAAACATCTGATACGTAAATTATGCTGGTATCTGAGGCCGATACGGATACTGGATCGGATCGGCCCCATGACTACAGCAGACATCTGAGCCTTCAAACTGACACGAGTCAAATCCTCGCTCCAATCAGCCAAGAAGGGTCATAAAGCTTTAAATGTGACGGCAGCCTGGAAATGTTCGTGATACTTTCCATACAAAACAAATAAACTGTTTGTTGTAGTTGCTTTATTTTATGTTGTTTCACTGCTTCTGTAATTTCACATATTTGCTGACTGAATCTCATAAAATGAAGCAATGGAACAAAAGTTTACGTCTAAAGTTACGTTTGCGTGTGAACTGTCAAAAAAAACGTTAACAAGCCAGATATAAAAGTAAAACTGTAGTAAAACAGAGAAAACCCACGTTGATTTAGATAAAAAAGTGAACTTTTTACCAGTGATACCAGTCGTCGCAGCCTTCGCCCTCACACCCAATCATGGGACTGCCGTCGTCGGGTTTGTTGCATCCGGGACAAATCCAGATTTGGTTTCCCCATTCATCTCGAATCTTGGATATAAACAGACGGCAGCTCAGCGTAAAACAGCTGTTACACAAACAGCTGTTACACAAACAGCTGTTACACAA